ATCTCTTTCACTGGAGGCTGGACAGCCAGCTGTCAGGCATGCTATTGTTGCATCTGGCACTTCAGATCCTACACTGAGCAGGGAGTTGGCCTCCAAGGATCGTGTGAATTCTATGATAATGAGCTGCAACTACAAGCAGAAACAGGGTAGTTGTGGCCCACCAAATGTTGCTGGGACTACAACTCCCATAATTCCTGATTGTTCTTCCGATAGAAGTTGGAGTAAAAAATGTCTGAAGGACTGTAGGTTATCCTTCCATGGTGTAAAGAGAAATTAAGAATTGCAATCCTCATTTCTGCACTAGACTGCCTAGGTGATCATACAACTTTCCTGTTAACCAAATTCACTACACTTGGGTTCATTTTCTTTCTTCTCTGGCCAAGACAGCCATTATATTCTGTTCAAATAACACCCCATCCTGCTGACACTGCAATAGGACAGCCGTGGTAGCTCAGTGGCCATTATTCACCTCGATACTGTATTGAAGAAATAATGGATGTGTCTATATTGCTGTATTATGTCTGAATATTATGGAACCTAACAGAGGAGCAGCATAAGCAGTTATCAATGGCAAAGTGGTTGGTGCTCCAACACTGGAATGATAGAACAGCAGTTTCAACTGTGCAAAATACTGGCATTCTGTAGAAAGGTGACTTTTCATAAGCGACAACAACATGAAGGAGCATATATTTAGACACTGAGTGCTTATCCACACATCCCCTTGTCCCGCTGCTTCCCCATCCTGGGGAAAACAGCTCTCTAGTGCTCAATCAGAGCAAACAACAATTCAAGTTTTCCCTAGGCTGCCATTTGTTCCGATTGATCGCTAAAGAGCAGGTTTTCCCTTGGAAAGGAGTGGGGCAAGGGGAAAACAGCTCAGACTCACACCTAGAAAATATAATCAAGTGGAAGGGTAGCCGAGCCCCTAGACTCTGTATATGGATGTATTTGTGTGACATGGTGTCTGAATGGGCTGATGTGGAAACAGAACTCAACAGACCTAACAAAAGCTAATTCTCCAGTCTTACTCTGTTCCCACTCCCTACCCCACTCTTCTATAAAGTCCTATACAATGTGTTGCTTTAGTTATTTAGCTAAGGAAAATTATTAGTATGTTTTGGGACACGGGTGGCGCTGTGATCTAAACCACTGAGCCTAGGGCTTGCTGATCGTAAGGTTGGCGGTTCAAATCCCCGTGACGGGGTGAGCTCCCATTGCTCGGTCCCAGCTCCTGCCAACCTAGCAGTTCAAAAGCATGTCAAAGTGCAAGTAGATAAATAGGTACTGCTCCGGCGGGAAGGTAAACGGCATTTCTGTGAACTGCTCTGGTTTCGCCAGAAGTGGCTTAGTCATGCTGGCCACATGACCCGGAAAAACTCTGTGGACAAACGTCTGCGCCCTCCGCCAGTAAAGCGAGATGAGCGCTGCAACCCCAGAGTCGTTCACGACTGGACTTAACTGCCAGGGGTCCTTTACTTTTTTTATTAGTATGTTTTAAGAGACTCCATTTATTGCAATGTCAACAAACGTAAAACCACTCTCTTACTATTAATTAGTAAGAGGCTATAAATTAGATTGTAGTCAAACAGATAGATCACCAATAGACTGGTTATTTCATTTCCTGTAATTTCTGACAAGATCTCTTAACTCAAGGGAACTGGAATTGTTTCCACAGTTACTGTACCTTCCACTCATCTCTCTAGCTTTGGAAGGACTTTGAGCAATGAACCTCCTTCTCAAATGAGGAGTTCCAATTGTGTGGTTCTCAGAAACATTCCTTCTCTCCCCTAAGCTATGCCCCAGAAGATGCTAGTATTTAAATCATGCAATTTTTCACTAAGGAAAAACCTGTATTTTCTTTCCCTTACACTGGAAGCTTCTTGACAAACAAACACCCTCTACAAAGAGAAAGGAACGTGAATTAAAAAACCCTTTCTATATTAATAAGAACAATGCTTTACCTTGCGCAGTATTTCAGGAAGGACTCCCCTCCCCTTAATTGGCATGGATTATAACAAAATTGTCCTTCCTTTCAACAAGGATGTTTTCCTTAAAAATTATTAAAATGCCTCTCTCTTTTCCCCCACATCTACCCCCACCCCCTTAGGAGACTTGAGAGAATAAAATTGCCTGGAATGAGTAAATTGTTGTAACAAATGTTCATCACAATGAAAAACATCCTTAAGTGGCACCAAATCTAACCAGAATATGGTAGATAAAGGAAGGTCTCTCAAGGTTAGGTCCTTTATTAAAGGATGCTAACAGCATTTTTCTCCATTGATTCCACTAACAAGAAAAAAGCTGCCACATTATTGTGGTGGCCTTGGCAATGTCTCTAGTAACAAAAGCCTTTGTGATTGCGAATGAATTCATGGCAAAGCTGTCAGCGTCAGCACCACCATCTACATCATTCTTGTTAAAAGTGAATTATTACTGAGCAGAAGACCTTCTGCTGTAATAATAAAACTGAGTATCTATGAAGTGCACAAGTTCTCTCAACCAAGTGACACTCATAAATAGCCCCAACCAGTTCCATACTGCTAACACATCGGCAGTCTACCTTCTTTATGGTAGATCCATCACTACTGGGAAAACCATGGCTTTAACTATACGGACCTTTGTCGGCAAGGTGATGTCCCCGCTTTTTAAGATGCTGTCTAGGTTTGTCATTGCTTTTCTCCCAAGAAGCAGGCGTCTTTTAATTTTGTGACTGCTGTCACCATCTGCAGTGATTATGGAACCCAAGAAAGCAAAATCTCTCACTGTCTCCATTTCTTCCCTTTCTATTTGCCAGGAGGTAATGGGCCCAGTGGCCATGATCTTAGTTTTTTTTTTTTTATGTTGAGCTTCAAACCATAGTTTGCGCTCTCCTCTTTCACCCTCATTAAAAGGTTCTTTAATTCCTCCTCACTTTCTGCCATCAAGGTTGTGTCATCTGCATATCTGAGGTTGTTGATATTTCTTCCGGCAGTCTTAATTCTGACTTGGGATTCATCCAGTCCAGCCTTTCACATTATGAATTCTGTATATAAGTTAAATCAGCAGGGAGAAAATATGCAGCCTTGTCGTACTCCTTTCCCAATTTTGAACCAATCAGTTGTTCCATATCCAGTTCTAACTGTAGCTTCTTGTCCCACATAGGAGACAGATGAGGTGATCAGGCACTCCCATTTCTTTAAGAACTTGCCATAGTTTGCTGCGGTCGACACAGTCAAATGCTTTTGCGCAGTCAATGAAGCAGAAGTAGATGTTTTTCTGGAACTCTCAAGCTTTCTCCATAATCCAGTGCATGCTTGCAATTTGGTCTCTGATTCCTCTGCCCCTTCAAAATCCAGCTCGCACTTCTGGGAGTTCTTGGTCCACATACTGCTTAAGCCTGCCTTGTAGAATTTTAAGCATAACCTTGCTAGCGTGTGAAATGAGTGCAATTGTACAGTAGTTGGAGCATTCTTTGGCACTGCCCTTCTTTGGCAGGCTTTTTAAAACTGAGAGTTGGAAAACATTTGAAACTCATATCCCTTTATACCTGCTGACTGTCTATCTTTATGGGCAACCAGAGAGCTCCTGGGGGCACCCAGTATTTCAGGGTTATCTTTCTTGTGAAGCTGTGGAGAGATGGTGGCTCTTCATTTCCTCTTATCTATCATCTATCATCTCTCTCTCCATCTAGCTACACCCAATTATTGACTTCCTTGCTCTGCTCACAATTAGATCCTATTTGCAAGCAAGTCTTTATTCATGAGTAGGACATCCCTTCTGGAGCAGAGCTTGCTCAAAGTCATGGGAATAATTTCAGGCTCCCCACAGTGATCATATCCAACTCCTGTCTCCTGGGGACATCTGAGAGTGCTGTTATTCCAGAGCTCCCTGGGGGGCTGGCATGCCCACTAGCTTCAGCAGTGATGAGCTGGGTAGGACACAGGTGAAGCTGCCATGCCCATCATTCACAGTCAAGTAACATGGAAAATTGTAATTATTACTGATAATTACACAGAATTTCTTTAAAAGCATGTTGCTTCCGACGTTACTCTGTAGGGTATGGCTTGATTATCAACAATTTACAGTGGTACCTCGGGTTACATACGCTTCAGGTTACAGACTCCGCTAACCCAGAAATATTACCTCGGGTTAAGAACTTTGCTTCAGGATGAGAACAGAAATCGTGCAGTGGCAATGGGAGGCCCCATTAGCTAAAGTGGTGCTTCAGGTTAAGAACGGACCTCCAGAATGAATTAAGTTCTTAACCAGAGGTACCACTGTACAAATATCTAACCAAGTACATGGCTAAGTAGAGATTTAAAGCAAAGTTACTAAGGTTGAAGTCAAATTATCTATTGGCTCAAGTACTTTCCTGTGTTGAATCAAAGCTTAACTGTTCCAGAAGCTCTGCAAATGCCATCTTGGTAGTCAGGATAAGCCCACAATTAATTGGTAGTTGTAACAATGAGCTCATATATGTTTAAATTCACTCAGTCTGATATATGCTAATTGGCTTGTTTTGATGTTATCCTTATCTTTGGGGGCTTGGGTAGACTTGGGTATTTGCCACCAATTCCCTCATCTGCTCAGGGAAGTTTCGGCCGAAGTGACACATGCTGCTTTGTATATATATAGAATGCATGAATGCTTGCTTGGGTGCGGGCAAGTCATGATGACCTATCCCTGTTGCGATGTCCATCTGGTGTCTGTGTTACAAGTTTATACCGTTCTTTAAGAAAGCACTAGAACTGGCCGTTCTGGAGTTTTTGACATCCTTCTTTGGTATCCCTGCATCAAACCACTCTCTCAGGCCCTCATTTCGGCCTGTGGTTCAGAACACACAAACCCCCAAAAAGAAAAGAAAAAAGAAAACCCTCTTAGTACTAATCCTAAAGACAACTGTGACCCATTTTGTGGTTTATCCTGATTGTTTTGCTGTCAGGAGAGATGGAACATCCACGGAAAGTTAACATATATAGACTGGAAAGCTCTTCCCAGCTTATTAATAAATTTGGGCTTACCTGAACGGTTGTTGGGAGACATGCGCACTGGAGAGATGGAGGGCGTACGCGATGAGGAGTACGGCCTTTGCCGATCCCTCTCTATCGTTGAAGATGAGGCTACAAAGTGATACTGTGACCATCCATCCTGCACGGGGATAACATATGAGAGGGGGGGGGATGACAAAATCAGCGAAAAATAATACTCACGTTCAAAGTTTGAGAATAAAACTTAAGTAAGCCAAGTTAGGAATAAATAGTTGAATATGCTATCTTTTACAGACTGGTCTTGCTCTTCATCAACAGACAGACCTCTCGCATGATCCTTTTTAATATATCCTCTTTTAAAAAAAAAAAAATATGTTCGATTTCATGTATTATTTATCACAAAATTCATATCCTGTCTTTCGTTGCCAAGTGATCCCAGAGCAGGTCGCAATGATTAAAAACACATCATAAAGTCAGTCAAAAACCTTGCACCAGAATGACAATTACCATTCAGTTTGTAAGTGTGAGTGCACTATTATCGGATTACCGACAACGCTCGCACCTCCTGACCAATGTACACACATGCGGTGGTGGAATGAGTGTGTGTCGTAAGGTCTGCCACTCACACTTAGAATGCTGGAAAATATTACTCTGAGATGGGGGGGAAATGTAATCTATCATTAAAAAGAGCTTGGTGATCTTTCTTGGATTTTCAGTACATGAATGAGTATGAACAAGATTTTCTGTGTTTCCTGTTTTAACTACTGAGTAGTATCCAGCTATGTCACACGCTCAGAGGAGAAATCAATGGACTTAAATGCCTATTATGTTCATTGATTTCAGTGGGTCTACTCTAGGTATGACTTTATTGGATATCACTCGGGGCCTTACCACTTTTTTTGTTCTGCCGCTGCTCCAGTATTTTTGCTGAAGGAATATTTACATTCTAAATTGGAACACCTACATCCAATTATGAATAAAAGGTTGTGGGATGAAGCTGTCTGAATTTTTAAATTTTTTAGTGGGAGAGTTAAGTACTTTCTTAAATCTCTGCCAATGATATTAATGAAACAAGTACTTGATTGGATTGTGCACTTATTTTTCTGTACCCAATGTTGATTTTCCTTTCAAGAATAATGATTGCTAACTTGCAAAATATTCACATATATAAGTAGAGCAAAAGTGAAAATCTGTCTTTTCCCTTCACCAAAGTCAAATAGTGTAAATTGACTAGTATAAGAAATAAAAACAAAACTTTATAAGTGAAATCTAACATCCTTAAGGCTCAAGCAACTCAAACAATCTAATCTATATGTCCTTAAACTGTTGAGGGTTAGATAAGAAATTGCAAGAAAAGAAAGAAAAGAAAACGGCTAATAGAAAAGAAATAACTAGTAATGACCATTAGTCCTTACTACTACTGATAAGACAATATTGTTTAAATCCACACATTCTCTGTCAGGAGCCAGATAATTTGTCTAAAATCAGACAAAAGGTAATGCCAAATATATTATCTTCAGCTACACAACTACTGATGTTTATTAAGTATTAACTGAGGTAAGAATTATTACAGAACATTCCATGGCCAGCAGAACTAAACACAATACTTCAAAGTCCTTGAAAAACCATTATTTCTCTCACTTATCCATATTGAAAGCTAGATTCTACATGGCTTTTCAAATCAAACCTCATTCTTAATCCTTCATCAAATATACACTATAGCTCAGATTAACTTGGCAAGCAATAGATTGTCAACATAGTGGGTGGAATTCAACATCAAGACACCAAGACAATAATTCAATCAGTGTGAGCATTCCTGCTTGCCAGATGGAACAACCACTCCTTTCCTGCCCCCCAAATGCTGTTCTGGGTGTTCTCCTGACCCCCCAAGAGTGGATAGGGGGGAGCCCCATTGGCTAGCACTGGATTATGCTAGACTGGATTTAGCTGAATCCAGCACTCTTTATTCCAAAGTACTCTATTTGACGTATGAATGGCTACTGGGTAGGGACAATCTTTTGTAAAATCAGGATAACAAACCCATTTTTATTTTTTATAAATAATATAATAAGCAGAGTTCTTTTGATTTTCAGCCACATTCAGGGGTTTTGATTAAACTGCAAAACTCAAGGGGGAATTGAGAAAGATACCTAATTCAGGGCCCTCTAGGGATCTAGACAGAGAACTTCTCCAACTAAATCCATTTGTCTAGGATGTTGTCCAAAAAGAAAATGGTTGCTTGTTCAAAGAAGGATGTTTAGCAATGTCTTAGGGTGGAACACAGCCAGATTAACAAGAAGTTTAGGTGTGGAAAGTCAAGATATATCTGATGACTGCAGCTAAAGAAAATAAAACAAGTCCTAAGATAGCCTATGCTCAAATATAATAGAATGAACATGTCTTGAGCATCAACTTACTCCCCAGAGCTTCACATATCAACCTACAAAACCTAGTGACCATATGTCAGCTGCAGAGTTTATTCTCCAACTTAGATATGAAATGGCCCTAAAATTTAGATGAAATTAAACAGAGGAATTGAGCTACAACAGCTGGCATTTATACAACTGTTTTTGATAGACACAGCAATTTTACGTGGCTAGATAAGATATAAAACACTAAGTATCAAGCTGTTTCAGTGCTGGAAGTAATTAATAGATTAAAAATTAAAAGGTGTGCATTTTTAATTACAGGCAGTAATATATACCATCTATTTTAAATTAATAAGGCTACAATCCTCGAACTGCCAAGACAGTACAACTGAACTCGGTATGAGTGTTCTTAAATTAATGGCTTGAGGAATGAAAGCTTAACAGCGCTCGAATCACCTGATCACTTTGAAGTCAATGGAAGTCAATGGAGTTTTCCCCCTATGAATCTAGGCTTGTCCCAAAGGGCTCTTAAAAGCTTAGAGTCAGCTGCAAAGCAGCTCACTTTGTTTAATGCTGATCTCAAAATATCTTTGCTCCAAAGCATGCACAGCTCTGTGGAAATGGCTGCTGCATGATTAGAGTGAGAAAGGCAGACTTTCCCCACTTTGCTTAGAAGATTTCACACAGTATTTTGACCTCTCTTTCTAAATGAATTGTTGGAATCCCAGTGGAATGTGGGTCCTACCTCTGACCAACCCTAGATAATCCAACATCTCAGAAACCAGCCTATACAATCAATGCTATAAGGAGCCTGAACCCCAAATGGGAACTTAGCATCATACTTGAGACCCTGGAGTCAGCAAGGGATGGGACAGAGCAACTGCACCCTCTCTTTTAACCATTTGCAACTTTGGCTCTCTGACCCAGACCCCAATGCCATTACAAAATGAACTGGAATTTTTGGAAGAACCAGACACATTCAATACATCGGAGAAGTCTCAGGTTGCATGCACACACTTTGTCAGACGAGAGTGTGTAAGACCGTGGAGGGGTGCATGATCCCACTGTTGCTTCAACTGCTCTGACAGGCACAAACCCGGAAAAGTTAGTGTCGGCTACATAGATGCTAGAGGTGTGTTTCTGGTGCATCTTAGAAGCTGCTGTAAATGTGTGCATTCATCAATAAAGAATTAACTATCAGCCATTTGCCTTCCTTGGCTAGGTGTGTGTAGGGCAATGCCTTGCCAGAAAGGTCAGCTATGCAAGGTAAAACAAATAATCTTACACAAATTGACTCTTAATATCATAGGAATTTACTGTAGGAAGTCATATGTCTACAGTTGGCTTTGATTCCTTGACTATATTATGTTTCAATCTACTCAATATACAGTCGTACCTTGGTTGACGAACGGCTCAGTTACTGAACGTTTTGGCTCCCAAACGATTGAAAACCGAAAGTGAGTGTTCCAGTTTTCAAACGTTCTTTGGAACCCGAACGTCTGGCGCAACTTCCAATTGGCTGCAGGACCTTCCTGCAGCCAATCGGAAGCCGCGCCTTGGTTCCCTAACGTTTTGGAAGTCAAACAGACTTCCAGAACAGATTCCATTCAACTTCCAAGGTATGTCTGTATTCTGTTTTAGCTATAATTTGGTTTTGCCCCATCACTATAATCTCACGTCATGCAAAATAAGTTACCACAGAAGCAACAGAAAGTTCTCGTTGGGTCAGTCTGTAGTTTGATTTCACGCCACATGTAAATTCGACTCAGCTGAAATAGTGCTTTGTCAGACCAAAGCAAGAAATAAGAAATAAATTTCACATTGCACTGATTCTTCATGGGCATGTCCAGTAAGACCATCACAGTATTTTCTAATGTGAGTAATCAAAATATAACATTAGCCTGTCTCGGTTCCAAGAAAACAAGCCCATTTTCCATTTTAAAGGTAAACTGTCAGTAACAAATTCATTAGGCCTACTTCATCAACAATTCCAAAAGCTATTAGTGTTAAATATTTAAACTAATTTTTAGAAGCCAAAAGGGAGTATTTCTAATTTAATGCAGAAATAAATACCACCTGATGTGCTGGCTGCTTTCATTAGTTTGTTTCAGCTCTAGTGCTTCTAATGAAATTTAATTAAATTGATTTGGATACTTAAAAGGTACAGTATATAAGGGTCTCCTGCACAGAAAAAGTAATCTCTCCAAAAGCAAGAGATGTACAAGTGCATTTCTGAACTCAATTTACCTGCCTACATCCTACTCTCGTTGAGCAAAATTAAGACAGAAATACTTGATACATTTAGAAAGACGTCACATTATGGGAGTTATGGCATGGTTGGCTACTTGCAGTTAACAGTTAAGAACTGCATACCAAAAGGGGAAAAGAAGGTATTATTTAATTTTAGTAGCATCTCCTGAAACATTTATTCACAACTATATTCTTGGCTACATCTGCTTAATGACTATCTCCCCCCCTCCCCCTAAAGCAATTCTATAGAAAGGTCTAAGAGAAATTGGTGGTGGTGGTTGTTTTGCTAGATCATTATGTGCACCTGTCTGATAAGTAGCCAGAGAGGAAGTGGGGAATAGATTTTTGAGATGGAAAGATATACATGGATGACCGTGGAGGAGGAAAAGCTAGACTTTCAGGCTCTTAAGACTTCAGCCACTCCTTCTTTGCTCTCCTTAATGCACACATCTCATACCATGTTTCCTTGAAATACCACAGGAGGTGTGAGCTGGATTTTAGGTGTAAATGTTAAGAAAGCAGTCCCAATAAATCTAAAACT